GAGATTATAATAACATTGCAGGATTTGCTTAAGAACAACTGAAGGGCTGGAATTGCCATCACTAAGGGACATGGTCACACAACATGACCATATTGCTTAATGATGGAAATTCCAACCCCAGTTACCATAGTTAAATGAGTCCTCCTATGTATTGCACACCAATCTGAGCATTTTATTCATTATACATGGTGTACCAGAAACTACTACAGACTTTCCGCAGTTTATAATAAAATATATTGATAATTCTGCTCACCAACCATTGAATTATTCAAATAGTATGGCACACTACTATCCACTGTTTGACTGCCACCACCATCTGTATGGAAGCTCTGCTCCAGAAGAGCTTATTGTAAACCTTACAACCTTATTGTAAAGAAAGACCTGAAATAGATATTGTTTCCATATCAAGAAATTGAGGTATTATAGGCTATTTTGGCAGTTGGTGATTATTATTTTGTAATTCATGTATGTTTTTTCTATTCCTTTTTAATTATGCCATAAGGAAGGCAAGCAGTTTTGCATGACTGTTTGTTAAAAACTATGTAAGATTAATGTCTAGCAAGATTCACTATGAATTTCAAAGCTGCTAGCAACCTTTGGCAAGCAGGGAAGAATATATAATGTGTTTTGGCTAGGAGATGCTTGTTTTGTTTTTCTCTTACAGTTATTTCATTTCTGGGATCTTATTTCTGAATTTATTTACAGTTGGCACTGAGCGATTTAGGTTTGCCAGTCTCTGTTAAAATGTTTTATGCTGCGTGAGGATAGAATAGGCCTTGAAATAAACACTACCTTGCCTTTATTTCAAAGTTATAGTTGCCAGAAATATTCCATCTGATCATACATGTGGACCAGGGACATTTATTTATTTATTTATTTATGAGACTTATATACCGCTTTAAATGCAAGCACTCTCTAAGCGGTGTACACCAGTAAGCAATGTATGTATATATTTACATTGCCCCCAACAATCTGGGTCCTCAGTTTACCTACCTCGGAAGGATGGAAGGCTGAGTCAACCTTGAGCCGGTGAGATTTGAACCGCTGACCTGTTGAACACAGTCAGCTAAAGTGGCCTGCAGTACTGCACTCTAACTGCTGCGCCACCTCGGCTCATAATGATTATCATTATTAATGCATTACAGTTACTAAGCAAAAGATCACTTAGAATTGTTTAAGCTTTATATAAATATTTACTGGCAAAGGTTTCTGTCTGTAACAATATGATTTTGACCAACAATTTGAACAACTGCTCAGTTCAGTTTGGATTGATTTGGAGGACATTTGATTTGACTCAGTCTAAAATTCAATCTTTGAACCTGTCATCAACCATAATTTAAAATCTCAACAGAACTGGACAAAGTTTTTAGGCATAAACAGTCTTTCTGAGGGAATGAAGACTGCTAAATTCCTGAGAAATAGGTGAAACATTTTGGATGCCTTTTTAAAAAAAATCTTTGCCACCATTCTTTTTACTTATATGATTTGAATAATATGTGGGTACAGCTGGATCTTTTCTGTTAAATAACTTTCAGAAACATGCGTGAACAGTAATTGAAATTTTTAAAGCAGGAAGAGTCTTTTCAGTAGAGTTGGAAAAACTTATTTAATTTGAGGGCTCAGTTTCCACATTGCCAGTAGTGATTGGGCCAAAATTGAAAATGGGGAGAATCAAAAGCAAATAGACTATTCCCTATCCCTTTTTCATTCTTTCATCATTTTTTCATTCATTTCTCTTTTATTCATGTCCTTTTCCTACTTTCTCTCTCATACACACATATAGCTATTCATATGAGCATAAATGTAAGGTAACACAGAGAGACCAAGTAACTCATGTGGCCTATAGTTTGCCTGCATGTACTTTACAGCAAGGGTCTCCAATTCCTGGTTCATGGACTGCTCCCAGTCTGTGGCCCGTTAGGAACTGGGCTTGCAAGGGGCAGATGAGTGAGCAAAGCTTCATCTGTGTATGTGTACAGGTTGTGAGCAAAACTATCCCTCCCCCCTCCAGTCCGTGAAAGACAATTTTTCTTCCAAAACCATCCCTGGTACCAGAAAGCTTGGGGGCCATAGCTTTACAGGATGTTTTCAAAAGTGGATTCATTTAATTTCTACCTGGATTTGGAAGGAGCAATTTTGAATCATGGAATTATTGGGCAAGACATTAGACCAGCCCACAAAAAATAGGGCAGTTTTAAACCTTGGTGATTTTTCTGAATTCACGTCTTCTATTATTAGAGTAACAAGTGGAGACCATGGCAGCCTTTGCACAACTAATTGCTGGCCTTCCTAGACCAAGAAACAGTGACTCATGTCATAATTACTATGCAACTAGAGATATTATTACTGTAATGTAATCTATATGGGATTGCTTTTAAGATGAATTGGAAACTCCACTGTATACAAAATTTTGCTAACTGTACAAGTAGGCTTAGCAGCATTAGACCAATGTTTCTGTAGCTGCATTAACTGGATCACAATTTTTTTTCAAAGTTTTGTCTCCTGAAAAGCAAAATACAATTTCAGAATGACTGTATCATGGAAGAATCTTGAGAAATATGAAATTAACTTTTAATGACTATAATATATTCAATTGCATAATGTTTCCAACATGTGGCATGAGTTAACAGGGCTAAAAGTGTTTTGCTGCTGATTTTTGTTTGTACTCAGTGTCCAATGGATCTTGCTGCAGTGTCCAAGAATAATCAGCCAGCAATGATGGATTCCAATTGCCCTGATACAGTTTTTTATTATGGCAAAGTTCTAGTGAAACCTTTCACCATGTTCATCATTGACTGCACCTAGATTTTCAGGAATGAAGTCCAAGTGTAAATGCAGAAAATGAATTTTCATTAACATCTTACACTTCATGGTCTTGTGTGCTCCAAGAAGTTTGTCAACCAGCTAATGTTGCTTGGTGCCCTGTAGTTGCCAAGAAAATTCTCAGCAACATCCTTGAATGCTTTTCAGGTGACTTTCCCAATAACATCTTCAAACCTCTTATCATTGATGATGTATTTGATCTGTTGATCAACAAAAATGCTTTCCTTAATCTTGGCATCAGTTATTCTTGGAAACAACTCAAATAATGAAAACCTTCATCTTCCTTGTTCATTTCTTTCACAAAAATTTTCATTAGTCCAAATTTTATATGAAGTGGAGGCAAAAATATCTTTGTCGAGTCAACAAGTAGTTCATGTGCCACGTTTTTCTGCCCTGGAACCAAGGACAGAGTGGCCATTTCTTTCTAATGTATTGTGATTCTCCTGCATGACTGTCTCATTTGCATATGTAGCAACATTACTTGGTATATCTGAGCTGCATTCCAAGCAGCAGAGTCACTACTCTCTACAGATGTTCCAATTGTATTTGGAGTACTGGATGTGCTTCAACAACAATTCTATTTTTCCATGTTTCTTTCATGTGTGCAGCATAGTCAACAGGTATTGAAGATGTACATTGCCATTGTGTAAAAACAGAAAGTTTCTATTAAAAGGTATGTGATAGATTAAATTACAAGTTATTTTCATGATTAGCAACCAAAAAGCTATACGATACACCAAAAGTGTCCAGGAAGCAATATCTGTATTGTCCAACAGTGAATATTTGGTAATTAATGGCAGACAAGCTCGATATTTTAATACAATCTATTTTTGTAGATATAAATAAATTTAGAGATGGCGTTGGAATGAAATACCACTAAGGAGGGATTTGGAGAAAGAGTTTCATAATTCTAGAGGCAAGTATGAGAAAGCAACTTAGAAAAGTACTGTCTTGATTGTGTTAGTATAAAAGGGGACAAACAGAAAATTAGACAGGCTTGTATGATTATATGGTACAATAATAATAAAGTTACATTCCTGGGGTCCATTGTATGTGTGGGGTCCATTTTCTGACCTATTTTGAAAGTTTACAGTAAGATTTTATTGTAATTCATAGGATTAGATGATGTATGAGGATATTTGTTTGTTTGGTATGTGTTGATATAATGATAATTGTAAATTGTCTAGAATCTTTCAAGAGGACATTATAGAAAGTATTGCATAAATAAATATAACAGTGGTAGCTCTGGGATACCAGCTGTCTGATGCTAAATGATCAGGTAATGATGTATCCTGATTTGTGACAAATTAAGCCAAGCACATCATGTGCATATCCCTAAGGTTTTTTTCCACAGTGAATTGGACAGTTTTGGGGGTGTAGATATAATACAGGGGTTCTCAACCTTGGCAACTTTAAGACTTGTGGACTTCAACTCCCAGAATTCCTCAGCTGGCTGAGGAATTCTGGGAATTGAAGTCCACAAGTCTTAAAGTTGCCAAGGTTGAGAACCCCTGATATAGTAGATGCAGCTATTTGGCAGATGCAGAATAATTTTGGAGTCTAATGTTTAACAACACATATTAATTCATAAACATTGAACTTAAAAATAAATCTATTCAATTAGGACAAAACTGTCAGGATCATGCAGAGCATATATAAAAGGAGTGGTCATACTTCTAACTTGTAACCTCTCACTTGATACTAAGACCATAAAGATTAAAAAACAAACAATAAGAATTATAGGGAAACCCTTGACTGGGAAAAATTGAGGAAACGTTACATGGCAGGTTTATAGTGAATGAAAACTTTAGCAATCATACACTGTAAAGCAGAGGTCCCCAACCTTTGGGGCACCAGGGACCAATTCCATGGAGAGAGGTTGTTGCATGGACTAAAGGGTGCCTGGTTTTGTGTGCTGCCTGCATCTTGCTTGTTTGTGTGGCCCGGTTGCTGGCATGCCGTGGCCTTGTACTGGTCCATGGACCGGGGGTTGGAGACCCCTACTGTAAAGAACCTCCATGGCCTCCACTAGACTCATTTAAGATTCCTACTCTTGAGAGAAATGGCAAAGGGCTCTGAAAATAAGTATGATTTTCTGATACTTTAATAATCTTTCCCCAAAACACTGTGATTAGTTCAGGCTTTGATTATGTCACATTTTCCCCTTTCCTTTGCAGATATGGATGAATGTGTTGATGGGACTGACAACTGCCATATTGATGCCATCTGCCAGAACACTCCCAAATCATACAAATGCATCTGCAAATCTGGTTACACCGGGGATGGGAAGCACTGCAAAGGTAGGCAGAGCAGATAGCACAGAAAAAAAAGATGGGAAATCCAGCTATGTTTACTTGCCCAAGCCAGAATTTAAAAATGACCTGAGATTAAATACCACTAAGTTGCAATGAAAAAGAAATACCCATTGGGTTTTGGGGAATTTTTATTAGCTGGGTATTGCCTGCAATATTGTAGGTGTCTCTGCAAATGTGTTTATTTCCTATAGTTGGTACAACTGTGGTAAAAACAAGGGCTATTCTAGATTATTTTTAAAGTTTCTTTAAAAATTATTTAGCTAAGTAAATTTATTATTTTCCTATTTTCTCTCTGGAGAATCCATCTTTCTTTGATGAAGTACTCATTCAATCTCCATTCAAACACAATTAGGCAGAATCTTGTTTAATTTTAACTAGGTTTCCTGAGATAATTTTCTCTTAGTGCTCCATAGCAGTTGGTTGAAATACTTAATGCAGTTGAGGGAGAAAGATAAATGATTTACTGAAATCAAATCTATGTGACTCCATTAATAATTTTGAGGTAAACAAGTTGTCTACTTCATAATTAATATTTGATGTCCTCTGAATGATCCTTGTATCCTATTTTGAAACAAAACTGGGAGGATCAGATTCTAAATCATGTAAAAAATAGGAAATTACTGTTGATTCTTCATTTAATCAGAACATTTTGTTGATATTGTATCCGTGATCGGAATATGTTAACCTATCAAAGTACTCCAGACAAAAAGCAGATAAATGAATACTAGCTTTATTTTTATTATAAGGTTAAATTAAAGAAGCTTGCAAGTACTCATCTTCTCCTTTCCTTTTACTCTCTGGAAAACTGAGAAGATCCCTTCTGAAACATATCCCACACCTCCTCTGCTTCTGTAGATTGAGATGTCTTTTGCATGATGATTGGCTAGCCTGTGGATCTTCCTACTGTCTCTTAAGGTCATTCCCATATACCATTACATAATGTGAAAGAAAGAAAAATACAATGCTGTTATTTTGGAAATTCTGTTGTATAATGGTAGTGACTCAGCTATTCGACGTAGTGACTTTGTATTTGAAGCATCAGTAACAAATACAGTTTTAATGACTTGATAAGAATTAGCTCCAATCACTGGGTGTAAGTAAAAGTTTAGGACACAATAATGAGAATGTAGAACAGCTTTGTCTTTCTTGAACTGGGTTTAATTTATTAAATAAATAAATCATTGAAGTATTGTCAATGTAATGTGCTGGAACATCCACAGTACATACTAATAAAACTCTTGTGTGGGTAACATTTAAGTGTTAAGTGTTAAGAAACAGCACATCATAGGACAACAGTTTTTGTACTGATACTTCAAAAGGGCTAATGTACAGACTGCACTCCAAATCTGGGACCCATGACTCCCATGGGATTGAAGCTTGGCAAGTTTGGGGTTGCTCCAGTGCTGCCATGCCATCCCCAGATGTTCGGTAGAATGGTCAACCCTCCAAAGGCTGGGTTGACTGGCATGCCCTTCAGATGCTGGAGACTAGGTAGACCAGTCCTGCCCTAGCCCTCTAGAGTAGTGGTTCTCAACCTTTTTAATGCCGCGACCCCCAACCAGTCGTAAGTCGAGGACTAAACCGGTCATAAGTCGAGGACTAAACCGGTCATAAGTCGAGTTCTACCCAACCGGTCATACGTCGAGGACTTTCCCTGCCCGGGAGCGCCACGCATGCATGATGCCACCCTCTGTGCCGGCCGAGGTGTAGCTGGCAAGCGGCAGAGACTGAGCAGGCCGACCACCGGCTGGGCCACCAGCTGGCCCAGCCCAAGGGAGGTAAGGCACCCTCCGGAAAAGGGAAAAAAATGGCAGACAGCCTTGCTTGGCGACCCCCGTGAAATGGTCGATCGACCCCAAATGGGGTCGTGACCCATAGATTGAGAACGGCTGCTCTAGAGGCTAGCTAGACTGGTCCTACTGTTGGCTGCTGGTGGGCAATCAGCTACAGTTAGGGAGCAGAAAGTTGGATGTTGCTTCCATCCTACTGTTTTGTTTTGGTTTTGCCCTTGGTCATTCTGTTTCTTTGTTTAGATAAGAAACATCTCTGAAACAATTACCCAGCGATTTGTCTAATTCTACTTAAGATCCTCTAATTTTAGAATAGATTTGAATGAAAGTTGAATAAAAGCCACTTTGGATGACCAGCTGTACTCAGCATGTGGTCCTCAATGGAACCACATTTACATGGAGAGAAGTGTGTAGTAGGGTGCCTCAGGGGTCTGTTCTGGGCCCACTACTCTTCAACATCTTCATCAACAATTTGGATGAGGGGATAGATGGGGAACTCATCAAATTTGCAGACGACACCAAGCTGGCAGGAATAGCCAACACTCCAGAAGACAGGCTTAGGATACAGGAGGATCTGGACAGACTTGAACACTGGGCGCTAGCTAACAAAATGAAATTCAATGGTGAAAAAAGTAAGGTTCTACATTTAGGCAAGAAAAACCAAATACACAGGTACGGTGCTCAATAGTAACTGTGAGAGGGATCGCAGAGTCCTAGTAGACAATCATTTAAATATGAGCCAGCAGTGTGCTGCAGCTGCCAAAAAAGCCAACACAGTGCTAGGCTGCATTAACAGAGGGATAGAATCAAGACCACGCGAAGTATTAATACCACTCTACAATGCCTTGGTAAGGTCACACTTGGAATACTGCATCCAGTTTTGGTCACCACGATGTAAAAAAGATGTTGAGATTCTAGAAAGAGTACAGAGAAGAGCAACAAAAATGATTAGGGGACTGGAGGCTAAAACATATAAGGAACGGTTGCTGGAATTGGGTATGTCTAGTTTAACGAAGAGAAGGACGAGGGGGGACATGATAGCAGTGTTCCAATATCTCAGGGGCTGCCACAGGGAAGAGGGAGTCAAGCTATTTTCCAAAGCACCTGAAGGCAGGACAAGAAGCAACGGATGGAAACTAATTAAGGAGAGAAGCAACCTAGAACTAAGAAGAAACTTCCTGACTGTTAGAACAATTAACCAGTGGAACAACTTTCCTCCAGAAGCAGTGAATGCTCCAACATGGAAGTTTTAAAGAAGAAACTGGACAGCCGTTTGTCCGAAATGGTATAGGTTTACCGGCCTGAGCACGGGGTTGGACTTGACCTCCAAGGTCCCTTCCAACTTTATTATTATTATTATTATTATTATTATTATTATTATTATTATTATTATTATTATTATTATTATTATCATTATCATTCATCGCACAGTCAGCCAGATGTTCAGCCTGGATTTGGCATTTTGTCTACCTATCGAGTCCTTACCCAGGACCTGGGATAGGCAGATGTTGATGTTTGATGGTATTACAGATATCGTCGCAGGATGGAAGCAGTTCCTAGTAAGGCCGCCTTTTGCAATTGACTAATGGCGAATTTGTCAATGCCAATGGTGTTCAAGTGGTGCTCCAGTTGTTTTTGGGATTGCACCCAAGGAGCCTATGACTATTGGTACTACCCTTGCTTGCTTTTGCCACAGTCTTTCTATTTCTATTTGTAGGTCTTTGTATTTTGTTATCTTCTCCAGTTCTTTCTCTTCTATTCTGCTATCTCCAGGCACTGCCACGTCCACTATCCAGACTTTTTTGTCTTTCTTATCGACAATTGTTAAGTCTGGGGTGTTATGTTGCAGGTGCTTGTCTGTTTGAATTCTGAAGTCCCAGAGCAGTTTAATTTTATCATTTTCTATGACTTTCTCTATTTTATGATCCCACCAGTTTTTGCTTACAGGCAAATGATATTTTTTGCAGATCTTCCAATGCACCATTGTTGCTACTTTGTCATGCCGCTGCTTGTAATCAGTCTGTGCAATCTTCTTGCAACAGCTTACCAAGTGGTCCACTGTTTCTTCAGCTTCTTTGCATAGGCGGCACTTACTGTCTGTTGCTGTCTTCTCAATTTTGACTTTGTATGCATTTGTCCTTAAGGCTTGGTCTTGTGCAGCCAGAATTAGTCCCTCGGTCTCTTTCTTCAATTTTCCTGCTCTTAGCCATTGCCAGGTTTTATTATTATCTGCTTTCCCAGCTATTTTTTTCATGTATTGGCCATGTAGTGCTTTGTCTTCCCATGCCTCTATTCTGTTCTTCATTTGGTCTTTCTTGTAGGCCAGTTTGGTCTCTCCAGTAGTTAGTAAGCCTTCCTGATATACTAATTTCAGTGCATCTTCATCATTGTTCTTCAGATATTCTTCCAAAGCCATTTTTTCTTCTTCAACCATCTGATGTACTTGTAGCATTCCACGCCCACCTATTTGCCTTGGTAGATAAAGTCTATCAATGTCACTGCGTGGATGAAGGGCATGATTCATTGTCATTATTTTTCTGGTCTGCCTATCCATTGCTTTTAGTTCTGCTTGAGTCCAGTCCACTATTCCAGCTGTGTACCTAATGACTGGGATTGCCCAGGTGTTGATTGCCTTTATGGTATTTCCTCCATTGAGTTTGGATTTTTAAGATCTTCTTCACTCTCTTGATGTATTCACCTCTAATCTTTTTCTTGACTTCAGTGTGCTTGATGTTGTCAGCTTGAAGGATACCCAAGTATTTGTAGTACTCTTCCTCGTCCAGACTCTTAATGTTATTTTCATGGGGCATCTTGATTCCTTCAGTTTTCACTATTTTTCCTTGTTTGATAGTAAGTGTGGCACATTTGTCCAAGCCAAACTCCATTACAATATCTTGGCTATATATACGGACAGTGTTGAGCAGCGATTCTATTTCAGATGATGTTTTTCCATACAGCTTCAGATCATCCATGTAAAGGAGGTGGGATAGTCTGGCAGATGTTTTTGATGTTTGATAGCCATGTCCTGAGTTATTCAGTATTGTTGACAGAGGAAACAGTGCAATAACAAATAGTAATGGTGATAATGAATCTCCTTGAAATATTCCTCTCTTGATATTAACCTCTCCCAGCTTCTCACCATTGATCTGCAACTGTGTCTTCCATTGTGCCATCGATCTTTGCACAAATTTTCTGATGTTTCTACTTACTCCTGTTATTTCTAGGCACTTGATTATCCAATCATGTGGCAGAGAGTCAAATGCCTTTTTGTAGTCAATCCATGCCACATTCAGGTTGGTCTTCCTTCTCTTGCAGTTTTCCAAGATCATTTTGTCTATTAGGAGTTGATCTTTTGTTCCTCTGCTATTGGGGCGGTTTCCTTTCTGCTCAGGTGGAAAGAGATTGTTTTCAACTAGATGCTGTTGTACTGCATCAGCTACCACACCAGTTAGTAATTTGAAAGTTGTTGGTAAGCAGGTAATTGGCCTGTAGTTACCTGGTGTTGCCCCTTTTGCTGGATTTTTCATTATTAGGTAGGTTTTCCCAGTTGTTAGCCACTTTTCAATTTCTCCTCCTTGTAGTATATTGTTGAACTGCTTGGCAATGAGTGGGTGTATAACAGTTAGATGTTTCAACCAAAACCCATGCAGTTCATCTTCACCTGGTGCTGACCAATTTTTGATTTTCTTTGCTCTTTTTTCTACCATTTTTGTTGTTATTACTAGTTCTTTCATTTCAACTTCTGTTTTATTTGCATCCACCTCTTTTAACCAAGCTGCATCCTTGTTGTATTTCTTTGGGTTATCCCATATCTGCTTCCAGAACTGCACTGTTTCTTCCTTGTCAGGTACTGACTGATTCCTTGCAGTTTCTCCATTGATGGATTGGTAGAAATGTTTCTGATTGGATTGAAATTGGAGGTTCTGCCTATAGTTTGCAATTCGAGCTTCATATCTACTGATTTTCCTGGCTATAGCTGTTATTTGTTGCTTTATTATTTCCAGTGCTTCCTTGATCTTCCTTGTTTCTAAGTGGTATTTCTTGATTAGGTATTCTTTGGTCTTCTTGTTCTTCAGCTTCTTTTCTTTCATCTGTTCTAGCTTGCTTGCATGTGATCTTAACTTGCTGATCTTATTTTCTAGTCTAACCTTCCATTTTTGTGGTGCACTGTTTGTTTGTTTTTCTTTTTTGTTGATTTTGCATCCCAGGTATTCTGTTATAACTGCAGCTGTGCTGTACATTAGTTGGTTTGTTTCTTGCAGTGAATTGGTGCTTATACTTGCTATTGCAGTATTTGCATCTTTTAATGCTTGTGCTAGCTGTTTCTTTGGAACAAGCTTCAATGCAGGCAGCCTTATTCTGTTGTTTTTGTGCTGTTCTAGATGCTCAATTATTCTTTGTTTCAATTCTTTTATTTCTTTAGTTAGAGGGTTTTGTTCTTCCTGAGAAAGAGGTGCCTGGTTTCCAAATGAGAACAGTATTATTATTATTATTATTATTATTATTATTATTATTATTATTATTATTATTATTATTATTATTATGGATCATCGCACAGTCAGCCAGATGTTCAGACTGGATTTGGCATTTTGTCTACCTATCGAGTCCTTACCCAGGACCTGGGATAGGCAGATGTGGATGTTTGATGGTATTACAGATATCGTTGTTGTTGTTATTTTTATTGTTGTTGTTGTTATTATTATTATTATTATTATTATTATTATTATTATTATTGCTGTGACTTCCACCATATTCCCATGTTGAAGCAAAGGCAGCTATAATTCTGTATCAGACTAGGAATTTAAGATTTCACAGGCTTCACAATTGTGTGGAAGGTTGACATTATGTTTGGCTGAAGTCTGTTATCTTTTCATTACAGGTTTTCTCCATCAGTGTGAGGTAAAAGGGTGCACCCCCGTTGTTCTCAATTTAGTCATTTTATAAATACTTGATAAGAGCTTTGTAGATTTTTGGTTCCGAAGTTCTTCCACATCACGTATATTTTCTTTTCTTTATTCAGATGTTGATGAATGTGAGCGCGATGACAATGCTGGCTGTGTTCATGAATGTGTCAATATCCCAGGAAATTATCGATGTACCTGCTATGACGGCTTTCATCTTGCACATGATGGTCATAACTGTCTCGGTAAGAAATTTACACATTACTTAAAATGTTTACTTTTAAATATTATAATATTTAAGGCTCCCCCCAATCATGTTTATGCTAAAAGCTGCATATTAGATCCTAATACAAAATTCTTCCAATTAATTGTTGAAGCTATCATTTCTGATTTAGTGAATTGGCTAAAATAAAAGTACATCCTTATGTAATCAGTCTCATCATGATTATACAGAAAGAGTCCTGTGTTGTTTAAAGTAGACAATGGCAGTGGCCTCTCATATGTGGAAAATATCTACTAAAAGTATAATTCCTTAGAATTCCACATTCTTTTGTTTTACTTACATTTACTTACATTTACATTTACTTACATTGTCAGTGGCATGGCTTGAATACTTTTCTGATTCTAATGATTCTATGCCATCACATGACATTAAATAGGTAGTTTAGTTATGTAGTTCCACTACAGTGTTTATTGATTCTATTTCCTACAGAGAAATGCAAATTGCTCTCAAGCGGTTTCCTCTTTTATCATCAAAGATCTGTACTGTAATCTCCACCCTTTCTGAGAGCTCACGATTGTGATAGCTGGATTTATTTTGCAAATATTATTTTAAACAGTGGCCTAGTAAAACAAAAGTTAAATTTTGTTGTTGTTATTCCAGTGGGGGAAACAAAAAATAAAATGATGAGGAAAGATGGTAAATATTAATGTCTGGCAGTTATCAACTTAACCTGTTACCCCATCTTCTTACATTTTACTAGTAAAACACTTTACTTTTAAGGATGTAAAATGTAATAACTACTAGATAAATTGAGCTCAGATATGCACTTTATTATTACTGTAGTGCATATCTCTATATTTTTGTGTCAACTTTACAAACTTTATTCCAAGTCAGAATTTATTTTTCACATGAAATATTGTCTGCTATAATCCTCTTTATTCCTAAATAGCACATAGATGAGCCCAGATTTTGGAGAGTGGCAAATTGATGGAGGGAAATTAGTAATGGATGTTTTATTTTTTCCTAAATATACAAAGTAATTTATTTAATATAATTTATAGGAAGAAAAGCTTTGCTCTTGAGCTATGGGCCTTCTTCCCTGCTTAATTGCAGTTAATTTGAAGAAAATGAAGAAAATTTGTGTTACCTCTCCAACTGTCACATAGGTAGCTTTGTTTAATCTGTCATATTAAATGTATCTTTCAGAATAATCAACTTTCCCCCAAAAGGTGCATTTTCTATGAACTAAGTAGCAAGCTGACAGCCAATTAAAGTGCATTCAATTTTGGTGCTGGGCAATTCTGAGACTAGTGTTATTTTTGCTTATTAAATAATTAAAATGTGTGTACTATAGCCAGTATTCTTTAGTTGTTGTTCCTGAAATTAAGCTGCATTTCATATTCTTCTGATGAAAAAAGACAAGCATACTAAGCCGTATAAGTCTTAAGTGCTATTGCTATCCACAGTAAGGAATGGCTTCATGATCAGCAACTCCATTGTCCCTTGTGACTCCCATGTGACACATACCAGATGCATTATTTCCATTCTCGGTGAGCTTTGTTTAATTTCAATAATGTCATGTAGCCAAACCTGATTTAATGGATCTTCCAAGGAGTTGGAGGAAGAAAGATTGCTTCTCCCCCCCCCCCCAATTTGGAAAGAACAAATGGCCAATCAATTGAGTTGCTGTTTTAAAGCTTTTGTTAACCATACAAAGCTTATGTTAACACTTCCATTCCCAAGTAGGTCAAGATGCCGTCTACCTGGAAAAACTGCTCTACTGACTAGTGTAGATTTTCACACAGAGGAAATCATGAATATTCAAGATGCAATATGAGCACAGTCTTGATTGTAAGACTTAGCTTGGCCTGAATGTGTATTTCAGCTGCCTTAACCTTTTTATTATTATACAGCCAAAAACTTCTGGAAAGCTTTGCTCTTTAGAAATGTGGCATTGATTGTTTTGATTTACTTCTGGAGATTATGGAATAATAGTTCAACTCCTCTTTAGAACAGAAAAGCAAGTCCTTAGCAAGTGCCCCTGATTATTTGCAAGTATTAGAAAGGAAAGTTTTGCAGAGATTTCACTTATTTGGACATTCACATGCTTTTATCCTTTTGTGGCATATCATGGAAGCTCATGTGTCCCTGTACATTCTTATCTTCAACTCTTGTTCCAGCAAAACAAGGTGCAAGGTTGCTATTGATTTTCCTGGATGTGTTCAGAGACAACATTCTTAGAAGCTCAGTTTGTCAGGAGCAAGTCTTGGCAAGTCTTGGATACAGGTAGCTAACAAATGAGTTGGCTGCCTCTGTGTTTGCTTGCCTTTCAAAACTACTGTCTCAACTGTTTGCTTAAGGATAAACAAAATCACTGAACATGTATTCACAAAAAAGAGAAGAGCTTAATTATAGACTACCAAGAATGTTTTTCTTCTCCCACCCTTTTTTATTTCTGAACTTGTCAGGATTAAGCATTGCTTACATTTTACTTCTGAAATTGGAAATATATGGGCCGTGTATATGAAGTTGCCCTCATACTGAGTCAAATGATAGGTTTGCTTTTTTTAGTTATTAAGTTTCTTCATTTCCAGTAACTGAACTAATAACTTTTTTGATACCTGAATTCAATCACTGGGGAAGCCTGTGTTGAACCAAGGACGTCCTTGCAAATCACATGCAGGAAGTACAGGTAGTCCTCGATTTACAACTGTAATTGAACCTGAAATTATGATCTTAATTCAATGTAGTGGTAAGTTGAGGCATCACTTTACTGGATCTAATTTTTCTGACATTTTTGCACGTTAAAAGTAGGGTTTAGGTAACGGTATTCTCAGATAGAAAGTGTAACCATATGCAGTGATGCAAGTATGAAATAGCTGAAATAGTTTTAAAATAGCTGAAATTGTTAGTTTTAGTTTAGCTAGTTTAGTTTTAATTCTTGTGATGTTTCAGCAATGTCACTCCTGAGTTGTCGCCCAGTTCCATGTTAGAATGGTGAATTTCTATCATTTTGACTGTTACATTTTTAAAAAAGTATAATTTGTGGGTCTGCAGACCTGACTGCTGCATGAAGGAGTGAGCTCCTGTTGCTTGCACCAGCTCCTTCCCATCTAGCAGTTTGAAAGCATACAAATGCGAGTAGATAAATAGGCACTACTTCTGTGGGAAAGTATAGTGTTCTGTGTGCCTACTGCATATAGTCATGCTGGCCACATGACCATAGAAATGTTTTCAGACAATGCTGGCTCCCTTGGCTAAGAAGCAGAGATGAGCACCGCCCTCTAGAGTCGGACATGACTGGATAGGGGAAGCCTTTATCTTTAGATATCATCATGGAAGTGCTACGTTGCTGATCCCTTCTTTGCAGTCATGTTATTGAAACTGGTAGCAGTGGTGAAGTTAAAAGGTAAATAATTAATTTTAGAAAAAAGCAAAATTCTTCATATAAGATCCTCAATTTCTTAGGGAAAAGGTGAGATTTTATTGACTTAAATCTTCCTTGAACAAAGTTTAAATTCTGATGATCTCAGACATAGTCATGTATCTTGCCTAGCAATCTTATGGAAATAGTTTCCATGGTCTTTTTCAGGGATGCTTTTTTTTTTTTAGTCTTGCCTATAGTTCTGAGATTTCCTAGTGGTCTCCCAACCAAATATTAACTAGATCTGACCTTGCTTAGCTTTTCAAGATCAAATCAGGTAGAATGACACAAAAACATAACAGTGCTAGAAGGAGATATTGGCTCCCTTCTAAGTTCCATACTGTTCAATATATTTTAAAAATAACTGGAATAAGGTTTTTAAAAAGTTATCAGATTTGCAGATAATACAAAAATGGGAAGGATAACAAATATAGGACAATACAGTTTCTGAAGATTCTTAACAATTTGGAAAATAACAGAAATCATATTATGAATTTCAAGAGAGAGAAATGCAAATTTCTAGTTTATATAACCTCCCCCCCCCCCAAAAGAGACATGAATTGCTGTGTACCATACTGGGCAGCAATACATATAAAAAGAATCTAGGTGTTTTGGTGGGTTGCAAGCTGGACCTATCACAAACAGTACTGTACCAAACAGATTAGGAATACAAGTTAAAATAGACAAGAAAATTGTAAGAGCACACCTGTCCACCCTAGACGAATTCAAATCACCTGGACCAGTTCAGAAGGAACTGTCAGACATGATCTCAGAACCACTGAACCATATCTTTCAACGATCCTGAGCACTGGGGAACTACCAGAGGATTGGAAAAGGGCTGATGTAGTCCCCATCTTCAAAACAAGAACAAAAATGGATCCAGGAAACTACAGACCCATCAGCCTGACATCAATACCTGGGAAGATTCTGGAAAAGATAATCAACCAATGAACCTGTGAACACTTAGAGGCAAACAAAGTCATAACCAAAAGCCAACATGAGTTTGTCAAAAACATCATGCCAAACAAATCTTATTACATTCTTTGACAAAGTGGCAAAATTAGTGGATCAGAGAAATGCTGTGGATATAATTTACTTGGACTTCAATAAGGCATTTGATAAAGTAGACCACAAGCTACTACTTGATAAGCTAGAAAAATGTGGGTTACACAGCATCACCAGATGGATTCATAACTGGCTGACCAACCATACTCAACATGTTGTCCTTAATGGAGCTGCATCTACATGGAAGGAAATATGTAGTGGGGTACCACAAGACTCTGTCTTAGGCCCAGTACAATATCTTCATCAATGATTTAGATAAGGGAATAGATTGGGAACTCATCAAATTTGTAGACAATATCAAGCTGGCAGGACTAGCCAACACTCCAGAAGATAGATTTAAGATACAGAAAGATCTTGACAGATCTGAACATTGGGTTCTATCTAACACAGCGGTTCTCAATCTGTGGGTCACGACCCCATTTGGGGTCGAATGAACATTTCACGGGGGTCGCCAAACAACGCAGTCCGCCATTTCCCCCCCTTTTCCTTAGCTGTGCTACTCCCTTTTATTCTATTGGCTTTTGAAAGCCAAT